CACCCATACCTGTACTTGCATTCTCGAGATCTGGGCTCCTGAAAATGGAAACATGGCTTAATCTGGTGTGAATAAGATACAAGTAATCAATAAAGGGGACCTACCGTAAGCTCTCGAGGAACTCTCTTCCCTTCTCCCTTCCGTCTCCAAAGGCCACCATCCGTGGTGTGTCTCCTCCGTCATCGCCCTCTTCCTCCTCCTTGACCATCTTCTGGTAGCCCTTCATATCAATACGCCCGCGTCGGTCTCTGGGCAAACCAGCAGACAGGAAAGACGGTGCACGAGTAGAGAAACGATGATACATATTCGGTGTGTCCTTGCTCAGCGGCGTATGGATAGCTCTGAGAAGGTTTTGGATAGCTGCCTCGCCCGGTGTCGGCTGTGGCGCTGCTTCTGTGAGAGACAATACAGATGGAAGTGTCCGTTGTGAGACTAGCACAAGAAGCCTACACGGGATAACCAGATGATAAGTATATAACCACGTTACATGACGTTTAGAACGTACATCTGTTGTAACCGAGGCTGTTGATAATTTGTACTGTCAAGATGTTCTCGTTGGGCTAATAGGCGAGCATTAAGAATTGGGAAATAGGGGACAATTATGCCGTCCCGGAAAGACTGCAAAGCAATCGTTCTGACGTCTATCTGTGGCGTTGATTGATGAAGCAACCCTGACATCGAACCTTTACCGGATTGTGCTACTGGCGACGTTGGTTTGTGACCCTTCGGGGTACGGTATAAGGCTGAAAGGATGGGATCAGTTTGCAGAGGTAGCAGAGCCTAGGGATTGGTTCAATAACACGAATAAGTTATGAAACGAATGGGATGTGTATTCCTTACACCTTCGACATATGGCAGGACTCGATCCCAGAAAAACGCCCAAACTTCCACTACCTTGCTGACGAGCTTTTCTTCTTCAATGCCGGAGAGCTCCGCAGTAAGATTGACCATCCCTGCGGAGATAAGTTCGTGAGCGTCGTTCTCGAGTGTTGCAATAGCTTTGGCTGGAGCCGCAGAAACGACGCTCTGGATATGACGTCTAACCAAGCCATTAAGGTCTTCGCTACAACGGAATGACGTCAGTCAACATATTAAGCATGCCTATTATGTGCGACAAACATTGGCACTTTCAGAGCATCTCTATTGAATAGAGGAAGTACGTAGACATGTAGTTTCATCCATGGACTGTCAGAGTTAGAGTGCGAAGAAATGCCGGAGGCGGTGGCAGGTAGATTTGTTGTACTAGAAGCCGAGGATAACGACCCTGGCAAGTGAGCGAGACTCCCTAGACGGTGCATCTCGCGGGAGATGAATGTGGAGTCGTAAGTTCGTGTACCGGAGGACTGTGGACACGAAAGCAGTCAAATTAGTGTGATTGACAACTTTCCACGGACAGCCTCTGCAAGAATGGTCTCGAGGGAACCATATTCAATAGTGCTTCCATCGAGGCTGTGGGCACTGACAAGCAATCAGCTTACCTTAGAAGGTGATGTATGTCCCTTGTTGGTTTGATTAGATGAGTTTGATATCCCAGGTGTCGGAGAAACTGCCGTGTCTCTAGAGACGGAAGCAAGTGTATCAGCTCTCGATTGACTCCGAGTAGGAAGTAGCTGTAGGGCGATATTAGGATTTGGGCGCAGCGTGGAATTAGACGAGCCACTACTCGAGGATAACAGCTTTTCGCCGAAGAAGCCTAGCTTCTTTGGTGGCAGAAGATCGTTGAGAGGGTACAGATTGGGGGGGCTTCCACTGGACTCGCCTGGTGTGCTTGCGCTGGTACCGGAGCTAGTGCTATAGAGGAGCCCTGTCGGACGTGGCGTATCATCTCCAATACTATGAGAACGTCTACCCTGGTCTGGTGTACGAACGAGCAGGCCCACGTCTTGCGACGCCCGACGACCTTGTGCAGATCTGGCTGCCATGAGGTAGCTGAGTCCCTCAATTGCGAATCAGTATCAGATTTGTCCTGTTTCTAGTTCTCGGCTTGAGTAGATTGAAATGATCCTGTCAGTGTTGGAGTTAACAATAGTTTGACAACACAAGTGGAAGCACAATAATGATGATGGAGGAGCGGTCGAAAAGCGGTCCGATCGCTTTGCCGTCTCTCCGTGCTATAATTATATCGTATCCTTTTACGGAAATCATATATGTTTGTCCCGCGATGTTTGTATATTCAAGTTCATACAAGAGGATACAAGAGAAGGTAGTAATGTACAAGTCAACAGTCTCGAACAACGAGCTTTCCAAATTCCATAGTACATGGTTTATCCACGTCTAGATCGTGAGACCTCATACGTCCTTTCCAAAGGATGACCTCAAAACTCGCAAGCGGTCGAAGACACTGTCAGCTTCCACGTAGCACCCTTTTAACCATCTATTGACCTCCATCTGACCTTCCCCGTCATTATCTGTGAAGGCCGTCCTAGCATGTAGAACACGTCGATTATCGAAGATGACCGCATCACCTTCACGTAGTAAATACTCGAAACGAGACGTAGGTCGGTCAAGGAGAGATGCGAATCGTTTCAGTGCAGAGTAGAATTCTGAGGGCGTGGATAATGGAAGGGGAGCCTGAAACGGCGGGGAGTAGTTGATGTGGCGGATAGGTCTGAGCTCTGCAGGGTTTCCGGAAACGGCCGCAAGCTCTATAGTAGGATGTGCATTGTGAAGATGATGCCCATCATTGATATAATGGAAGGTGACTGGAATCGTAGTCAGCAGGTTGAAGTCTTCAGGGTATTTTTCCCGAAGTTCTTGAGCGGCGTAAATGGCGTCGACAAAGAGGGAGACCCCTCCTTGAACTCTGTTGCGTAGGCAATGGAGGAATTGATACCGTGGTGGGTGGTTAAAGTATCTACATGCATATGTAAATATCAGTAATGGGGATAGCGACTACAGTCTCGTAGAACAACTCACTGTAGATCGATGTGGTATCCTAGATCAAGGTTAGTGTAGGCAATGTTTGTACTGTTTCGAATGTTCTTCACGTCCCACAATTCACCGTAAAAAGTGGTTCTAATTTCGCCGAACATTTGAGCTAGCGTGCGAACCTCACAACTCTCATGAGACGTTTCGGAAGTAGGGACATTGGTGACTAAAAGTAGCCCATATTTAGCTAACTGCTCGAGGGCTTTGAGCTTCCCGGGTTTCTCTTGCATCTCTTCGTAAGGTACGAAGAGTGTTTTCGAATCCCGAATGCGCTCGGCATTCCAAGTGACCGGATCGACGTCCTTGTGAAACTTCCGCAAGTTCTGCGGAGAGCCGTGATTGTGAAGAATTTCACTCGGGTAGAATGAGCGATGTCCAGTGTCCCACTGAATCTCGACCCCGTCCTCTCGAACCTGGATGCCATCCGGAGCGGGATGAATGTTGGCAGTGATGTCAGAAGACCGGTGCAGCTTTTGTCGAGTAGACGGATGTATGCATTCAGGGCACTGACATGAGTCACGAAGCCATCTGAAAGGATACGTTGTACCGTTGTAGAGCAGGCTAGAAGAACTCCCTGGCGCGACAGAGGCGAGAGTCCGTCGTCCAATATAAAACCCCGTGTAAAGTTTGCGATGTAGGAGGCTGAGCATTACTAGACGCTAAAGAAAAGACATTAACATACGATAACTGATTAGCAGAGAAATCATTTTTGAAACTCACATAGTGTTGTGGTCTTTTGTTGCAATCGGCACAATCTGAGGCGGGGGAGAACTTCAGAACGGTATCGAGTCTTTAGTACTCGATTGAGGTTATTTATAGATTTTCCAACGGTGGCAGTTGACCCTGTCAAGGAGAGACAGGGACCCAGACGTAAATACCACGTCTGAAGGCTCAGTATAGAATTCTAGCACTGGTGACAGCTGTAGTAGAGCCATGCAAAGTAATTTATTCAAGTTCCGAATCTGATCTATGGGCGTTTAGCGTGGATCACCAGATTTGGAGGTGAAGGAACAAGTGATGCATCGATGCAGTATGATACTAATACTATGAAGGACTTCTAAAGCCGGTTTGGTACTATTATGTCACGAAAGCACACTCATCTGTGAAACGGTAGAACGGAGTCGGACACGAAGACCACGAGGTTCTCATTACTAGAGGAAATGCCGCCGGGGACGTCGGCTAGATCCCTTGCTTGTGCCAAAGGGATAAGGCTGAAGATAATTTGAATGTTGTTACCTTGAAATGCGTGAGGATTGGAGTAGTGTTCTCTCTTGAAAGTTTTCAATGCACCAATATTTATATTATCTTGTCCCCTACCCATTCCAGATATTAGCTACTGTCCCCCAATACATTATGAGAGATACATATCCAGTCCATTTCAGGTTCAATCAGATCATTACCATGTTTACTTATGCTTCATATTTTTACAAATACCTCTTTTCCTGAGTATCTACAGCATTGGTGATGCTCTTTGACGATGTTGTAATGCCAATGCAGGTCAAAAAGAACCTAAGCTCGGTTCCAGCCTCTATTATTTGGAAGATAGTCTCCAGAACCTCCCGCTATCATTTCTTCAAGTTCACACAAGTCGGTTCGCAGCTGGAGGGACCGTCAAAGAGGGGTAGAACATTTGCACTGTGTCCTGGTGTTCCATGGCGTAGTTTATGGCATCAAAGCTAGGTTCATGGACACACTGTCGCTCCAAAATATTTTGCTAAGCTGTCCTTGAGCCCATGTATGTATTATCCAAGGTAGTACAAAACATATACTTTGCTCGAAGTGAGCACGGAGCAAGCGCCCCTGCGGCCCGCACGGGGCCCGGAGAGTTACGGAAGTCGGATTGAACCGGGTTACATGCAATAAGCCCCAGCAGAGAGCCCTTGCAAGCAAGGGAACATTCAAATTCCCCACACTATCATGATCAAACGTACTATATCACTCGCACAGATACAGTGACAAGAATAAGTAAGAGAGCTTCTTGAAGATCACAGATACCTTTTCGGCCAAGAGCAAACGTATTCGCAAACTTGAGAAAGTGCTGAATGAGTACGGGCAAAAAGAATTGTTACCTTAGCCCACCGCGGGGGTCGAACCCGCAGCCTTCAGATTACATAACATCGCCTAGTCTGTAAAAGTCTGACGCTCTATCCGATTGAGCTAGGCGGGCATATCTTTCTTTATATACATAGCCAATAGGACCCCAAGCTGAGAAGATTTTATTCTATTCTCCCCAGGACTCGGACCCCGAGTCTTCAAACCCCGGATAGTCTGTCAAGGTTTACTTCGAATTCGAACCGTTTCGAGACGCAACGTCTTGCTTGGTGCTTATTCTACCTTACACATGTTAGTTCTTGGTAATAGAATATCTACTTTGCTGAGGTCTGCAACACTCCCAGGCCACATTGCCAAAGGTGCAATCCATAACATATCCCGGAGATCTTTTACAGTGCTCGGGCTAGAATCCTCGGCGGATGATAGTTGTGCTGCCATTGTCACAGACTCACGAGAAATCAAGGCAAATGTTGTCATAAGACAGGATGACGAGTGGGCAGATTTCTCTCGTTCGTTCCCGGTCCATTAACCCCACAAAGGCATCGACAGTATGGTGGTATACACCCATACGTAGCTATAAAATCTCATCAAAGTAATGTGGTATGTAAATCGTGTTAGTTGAAGAACATGTATGCTTATTCAAATTGTTGCTTCTTTCAGCCTCTAGCTGTACAGCGAGCACTGTCACAAGCAGGATGTACTATGAGCGATATTGACGGTATCGCATTCACTCGTGGGCCTGGTAAGCCATTCCTCAACACATCACACCCCACGTGCGTTGTTCAAGTGACAATCGTTTCAGGTATGCCAGGATGCCTTTCCGTTGCGGCAGGTACTGCGAAAGGAATCGCTGCTGCCCTTGGAAAACCTCTGGTTGGGGTACACCACATGGTGCGTATCCGAAATGAGGACGGAGAATAGTATAGAAACTGAACCCAGTTCTCGTAGCATGCTCATGCTCTCACACCATTTCTGACGCAACCTGTAGATGAATTACCAGAATATCCCTTCCTCACTTACCTTCTCACGGGTGGTCATACGCTATTGCTTCTGGCTGAGGATTCTCGAACATTTCGAGTTCTAGCTGATACCATCGATAGCAGCATTGGAGCTGCCTATGACCTCGCTTCTCGTGCTTTGTCCCTTCCGCCTCATCCCAAAGGTGCTGGTGCTGCGTTAGAGGTCTTCTGTACTCGCCCTATCCCCGATTCGGAACTGGGTGATATTGTTAAGCCATTCGTCACCCCAATGCGGAATGAGATGGCCTTCTCCTTTAGCGGCGTTTTATCTCAAGTCATTATTCCTATCCAAAGACTCGGTCATAACCCAGATGAGCGCACGAAGTTAGCCTTTGCACGCGCGTTCCAGGATGCGGCTGCGCGGCATCTAACAGACAGACTGCTTAAGGCGCTTTCATATTGCCTGCAAGGACACATTCATGTCAAACACTTAGTTGTAAGTGGTGGTGTAGCAAGTAATATGTTCATCAGAAATCGGTTTGTGTGACTTCCAAGGTATCACTTTGATTATCCTTCTAACATGCGTTCTAATTACAGTCTAAAGGAGTGCCTCGAAACTGCTAGCGTGGAGCAATCTCCGCCGATAAAGTTGATCTGTCCCCCTCGCGAATTTTGTACAGGTCCGTTCCTATTCGTTCACGGCCTTTCACATTTGCTTCTTACTCTTGCAATCACTTCATAGACAACGCTGCTATGATTGCTTGGGCATCAATGGACCGCTTTCAGACACATGACTATGATGATTTCGCCATTTCACTCCGTCCTACTTGGAAGATAGCAGATCTCACGCAACCTGATTCCGTCGACAAGCCATGGCATGGAAGACGAAGTCGTGCTCTTAATGTTCCCACCCTTGCGGTGGAAAATCCTGAGTAGCACCTAACAAAACGTTTACCTCTGCTGTTCCTTTCAACATGTACCTAGGTCCTATTTGGAATGTGTTCGTACCTTCAGTTGATTCTCTTTTTTCTTTATGAATAAGCACGACAATATCAATATGAAGCTCGTTATAGACTACATATCTGCAAAGTTTGGGCCTTTCAACGCGCTACGTGCCTCGGCTTGAGATGATTGATGGTTCTTAAGATACAATTCATCAGTAGATGACATCGACTTAGAATAAGTAAAGGTCTTGACATATGTCAAACGCCACTTGGTTGGTGTATATTCTACCTCAATGAGAACCCTTGCTGCTATATTGTACTACGTAGTACGTACTCATTGCGGTTGTAATGATCGGGCTGCGGGATCATTGCCGTCGTACTTTGAAATTCAATGACAGGTAACTTGAACTTCGTTTAGTTTCACTTCCACTGAGCATTCATAAAAATTCCGATGACGGACGACATATCATCCCCAGCTAAATTGAAAGAGATACTTTCGGGTTTCAAGTTTGTCTCCCCAGTCAAACGTCCTCCAAGGTCTCCCAAGCCCATTGTCAAACAGGACCCCGACACCTCACCAGTCTTAAACTTGGTGGCACAGAAAGAAATTGAGCCCGCTTCACTTTTGAATACTCCCAGCACACCTCGTAAAAGAAAGTTCAAGCAAGAATTGGATATTGGCTCACCGAGAAGTGCAAAGAAGTCCAAGCGTGGATATGCACCTCCTGAGCAATATGCTCATCTGAACCTCCTTCAGGATCATCTTCAGGAGCACTTAGATAGTAAGTGTCCCATCTCTTTCACCGCTGTCATCAAAACCTGAGAGCTATTGTTAGTCATGTTCTGTGGAGTAAAGTATGCTATGACACTCTGTATCATCACGTACCAAATTCACGTTGATACAAACAGCCCTGGTTGTATGTCTGCCGAAGTTGGACATCATTTTGCAAGTCCTACAAACCACTTCTGGAAATGTCTTCACAGATCAGGTGTATAGACTCTGTGTTGATCTGTTCATATAACTCGGAATCTAATGATCATTTTCAGGACTCACGGATAGACTTCTCGCGCCTTCCGAGGATCTTACTCTCCCTGAAGCTTACAACCTCGGACTGGTAGGTGAAAATGAATGTAGACGCGTATAACTTCATTTATAATATTCCTTTAGACCAACTTGGTTGACAGACCTTCCGCCGAAGTAGGTTGCGAATTTACCTCTCATCCCACACCGATATTTACGTGTTTGAATACCAGCAAGCGGAACTATCTAAACAAGACATGATTTCTGGTGTTCCCATACTCCTAAACAAAATTCGACGTTTTCGTCCCTGCATTGTGACTTTTGTCGGGAAAGGTATATGGGAAATATTCATCAAGGAGAGCCCTAAACTTGTGCAGACAGTGGAACCTGCTACATTGTCTTCGGGGTTCGACGCACCTCTACCAGACGTCAATAAATCATCTAGTAAGCTGACGAGCAAATCTAAGGGGAAAGCCAAAAGAAAAACGAAAACAACTTTCGAATGGGGAATTCAGCCGTTCAAGGTGCTCCACGAAGACTCTGATCAAGGTTTTTATGTTATTAACCTCCATAAACTCGATACTAATATGTGAACTTTTCTCAGTCAAACAGACTCTTTTCTTTGTTATGCCTAGCACGTCAGGAAGAGTCGTCAGTCATCAAGTACAGTTCTCCCTTGTCATACAATTCGCTCTGCTCACTCATCTGTTACCTAGCTCAATGATAAGATCGTGCTATTTACAGCCCTTCGAGAACGACTCATGGAAGTCAAGAATGCATCACTTCAAACTTCAGATATGTCCATAATATTGGCACCGCCGTATAAACAATAATGCTCCTAATTTTATTGTCACCAGGATTAGGATTCTATGATACCACCCGCCGTAATGATACTCCTTCTTGCGTCTTGCATTTTAAGCAGCAATAGTTCGCCTACTCGTTCAGAATACATTTGTGTAGGATTTCGTCTATAGATTACAGTTACACATCCGGGAAAGCTAGCCAAATACGGAGGCATTCGGCGGATCCCACAAACATGTCAGTGGTTGACACTTCCGTAAGCTTGCGAAGCAACTAGCACAATCTAAGAGCGTGAGTATCGTTTATGACATCTACTCTTTCTTTCTGAATTCTAGAGCACTGGACTCTCCGCAATCCCAAACATGAGCAAGCTCGAGGCCGCATTGTTTACTGTTACATAACGAGTCAGTGTTATTCTTTACTTGCGGAAAGCGAAGGACATACCCGAGAGTAGCGAATTCCTGTAATGTGCGTTCCTTGGCATTGACCAAGTTCTTAAGAGCACCAATAAGATACATGGCTGGGTAAATGGAACTCAATTAAATTATCCACTTACAAGCATCTAGAAGTAGAGATACAAGTGAGCAATCGATTCGTTCACTGATCAACCATGCTAACGTACCGCCAAATCGGTCGTGTAGTGTAGGATCTTGCCCTCGCCGAAGTTTGGCAAGAGAGGTTCCGGGGCCTGTAATAAACCCTTGATTTAGCAAATAACAATATTGGAGTTTGAAATAATTGACCTGAGTTATGAGACTTCCTTCGCCCTCAGTTTCTCTAGCAGCCGACTGCAAAACAAATTCCTCTAAACATGAATTCAGAGCCGACCCGACTGCACGAGCTGATGCGAGGACGTACGAACGATGATTCGTGAAGTAGGTTTCATCACCTTCTTGATGTTGGTGAGGATTGTGATGCTGTCAGGATCGGCCCAATCATGGCTAAAGACGCGATGAGGAAGCGAGATTAGCTGAATAGAAACAGGGGGGCTTACATGATATGTTTGAGCTGAAAATGGGTTTAAAAATGTATACTTGAGTATAATCAATGCGAAATTAGCGAGAACCCACGTAGTATATGTCTTGCTCAGGAACAGGAGACTCCTTGATGAAGTCCATTGAAACGAAGGAAACACGGCCTTGTTCGACAATCTCTGGTGCACTTTCCTTCCAGAAGCCTTTAGCCTGTTCCACTGTGGGAGGTAAATCTTGAAGGACAACACGGATTTGCGGGCAAGCCTTGGCAAAGTGCATGGTAATATGACCTATTCCACCGCCAACATCACAGACAGTAGTCCCCTCTGGAAGCGATTTCCACGGAAAACCTATCGGAAGAGATTGAGCTTGCTATCCCCGAGAAGAAGAGAAGTGTTTACCGTGCAACATTGAAT